CTCCTGTTCAAGTGTGGCCTCTGCATCCTGCTCACATAATTAGGATGAAAACAGTGAGAGGTTTGCACATGGGTGGACTTTGTTATGCGTTCTTGTGTGTGATTGGTTTAAGAAAATGTAGGCGATGCATATGACTGTGGAATATAGTGAGAACGTTCATGTGAGCTGTACAAATGTGTGTGACAGTAAAAATGCAGATAAAATATTAAGACAGACATTTAAGATCAATGTACAGAAGCAACCACATAAATTTTGAAACTATGTCATGAACTGGAGTGGGTTCATATAAGTTTTTCTTCTTCCCACTCCTTTTCTAGAAATGTGCTTTTCTGTTGTTTACAATGTATATGTAGTATACATGATTATTGTTTCTCTCTTGGCACAAACTCGAAATAAAAATGAATGAATGAATCAAAAAGATAAAATACTACTACACAAACAGGACAAATAAACTGGCCTCAGATTTATATCATACTTAAGATGAATACATTCTCCCCAAGATATTCCACATTATAGATATTCCAAGATCTATGTGTAATCTTGCACCAAATGGTTAATGAACATAGAAACTGAAATGTTCCACAGTATGCCATTAAACATGTACTTCTTGGCTTAGCCTGGCTTGGCTTCCGGGCTTGCTTCTCCTGCAGATTTGACCTGTAATTTGTTCAAGTGGCATCAACATGGAGATGTAACTGTCTGACCAGACAGACCTTTCTATACTCTGTTCGACTCTAGAAGGTTCTGGAACAGCATAATAGGGTGCAAAAATCCTCTGCCCAAACCATATACAAAATAAAAAAACTGGACTAAGAGAGTGTGACGTCACCCTTAGCATTCAGCGCCACTCAAATAAAGCTCATGATGCTGAATTTGGAGGATTTTTTGACAGACAAAATAACAAAAAACAAAAAAAAAAAACACCAAGATCATATAGAGCGGGTTGAGATGAACATTTTAAGACCAAAATGATGAGGCTCATAGTAGCAGTTACAGTGAGGAAGACAGCAATATTCCAATATAAGTCAATGGGAGCCAGGGTCAGAAGAAGCTGGAAGTGCCTGCATACGAACTTCCTATTTGGAACACGGTGTTTAGCGCGTTAGCTGTGTCCATTTATATATACAGTAGGGTGACCAAACGTCCGTTTTTCCCTGGACATGTCCGTTTTTTACGTCCTGTCTTGGACATCCGGGAAATGTCCGGGTTTTCATTACCTTTCATTGGGCCATTAAATTGAGCGTCTTTCATAGCTCTCTGTAACTCAGAAGGAGCAAGCAGACACAAACAGTCAGTCAACTTGCAATATGCTGAAGTGCAAATGTGCATTTAATGATATTTGCACAAGAAATTCCCCGTTTTCCGGCCCGGTCCGGACAAGTGAGATCCCATGTGCACAGTTGTGAGGTGAGAGTAGTTCCCCACACCCCCACCCCCGGTAAGGTGCCCGGGTTTTTCGGAAAATTCCAGGCAAGGCAATAACATCTACACGGAGACCGAGGTGACGGACTCCACACCAAAAAAGTTACATAGTGCACCTTTACTAAATCAGGGTTTGGAAGCTGAAATTCAAAATATTTGGGTGCAACTATCTTAGTCAGTCTTATTCAGCTTGAGTGATTTGCCTTGAACTTGACCTGTTACACTGCATATTAGCGTTCCAATATTTACACTATATTCATCCTAACACCACTCATCTTCTGCATAAATCCGCCATTTTAACTCCCATTTTCACATTTCTAAAGACTAATCTGGATGCGAGCTGGTGAAATAGCTTGTAATTTTTCTCTCTTTGCTTGTGGCGGAAAGCAAAGACGCAAGCAAAGTCTAAAGTCTTCAATGCTGTGTGCCAAAAAAAAAAAATCAAAATCAAATGGAAAAAAAAAAAAAAAAAAAACTACATCCTTTTAGTGTGTGTGAAATTCCCCTTTTTGAGCTCATCTTTCTCCACCTGAGCCAAGTGAGGACACACGAGACCAGCACAAAAGGTCCATTGTATTAGTGTGGTTTGGGCCTGTGCTTTTCCAGCTAGTCTTAAAGGAAGCAGAGAACACTTGGATAGATTTTGGTGTGCATATTTTAGCCACTGTGTAGACTTAAGGATTTGGGTTGAGAAATAAGAGCATATCCTCACAAAACCTTGAAATGTTGATAGGTTGAAATTCGCAAATAAGTACGCAAATACCTGTTATTCCCCATCTGTGTCTCCGAACAAGGACATTGCTATTCAGAATTCCTAAAGTCTAAATCCCAAAGGTTCTATATTACACAAAATTGACTCTTGTGCACTTTAGGCCATTTTAGACTGTTGTTACCTCCTTAAAAACATACCTGGAGTGTTTTGTTTCCTTCACACAAGTTTGAGTAATCCTTTATTATTATTCTGTCTACATTTTTAAAGCTCAAAATGCTCTTTTCCAACTTATGATGTCATGAAGCGGTAGTTTTTAAGTTAACAGCTACCCTTGACCTTTAGTTCAGTAGAGATTGCTTATTCCTGGACAAAAATTATCCAAACGATTCTAGTAAAAGCGTGCTTAGTTTACAAAACAAAACACAACTCCAGGTATGTTTTTGATGAGGTAACAGCATTAAAACATAAAAGTGACAAGAATCCATTTTGTGTAATACAGGGCCTTTAATAACAACAACAAGATGTGTCCGGCAACGATCAAGATTAAAAAAAAAGGATTTTACTATTATTTGTATATGCAGCTGCTCTATGATATCTGTGTGTGTGAGGGGATTTTAGCTCAGGTAAACAGTGCAATTAGTTTATCATTTGTACATTGTATTACATTACAGATACCACTGGATATTTTGGCTATTACGTCATTTAGTAAAATTCGTCTGCAAAACCTGACTAACAAGTGTAAGATTAGGTTTGTTGGAGGCTATAGGCAAATCAGCACTGAATTCCCTTAACAGAAGAATCGTTATTATGTTCTGTACAACTCTTTACTAACTTTGCATATAGTTGTACTTTTGTTTTTACATTACATTGTCTAATTTTGAGTTAAACGGTTTTCATGGTTTGTTTAATTAATCCTCTGTTTAAAAAATATGCATTGCCAAGTTGTTATTATGCGATACAATTAAACTACAGGCTCAACTTGTAACCATTTATTTCCACTGTAAACGGTACATTAATTGTTGCTATTCGCGCAGTTGTTCACTTTTCGTGATCCAGTACAATCCTCTAACACTGGTCTGAGATTAGTGTGTAACTTCTACACACATACAAGATAATTTCCACTGGATCTGGCATTAACTTTAACAACTCTTTCGGATTACTTTGTTTTGTAACAGGTCCAACAAAATCTAACTATTCGGTTTTGCCAGTTCTTTAAGCCAAATTCTCTCCTTCTGATAAATGTCAGGGTTGCCAAATTTCTGTCTGTTTGCACTGTTGATTTTTACAATTAAGATTTAATATACATAGCCTATAGGGATTCAATTTTATGATTTGAAGTCAGCCAAGTTGTAGAGTTAGAATGGCTTAATTGTCTGTAAATGTAATCGAAAAGGATGCTGAACTTTTGAGAGATGTAAACACTGCACTAAAATAAATGTTGATTTTAAATGTTTTCTGAACATTTTTGGTTTATTCACTCAAATTTCAGGTTAAATTTCAGATAGTATCAGTCCTCTGCATGTCCACACTGTTAATATTTTACTATTAGGAGTAGCATTGAAGCTTTGTTGTTGTTGTTATCATAATTTTGTACACTAAAGTGCTTTAAACAAATGCCCATGTTTCCCACTCTACATTTTTTAGAATAAAATGTAAAATGAACTACTACTGTGACTTAACCTTGAATGTCGAAACGTCAAAATAACCCAATTTTATCAAAGCTGCCGGTTTACAATTTGGCAAAGAAATTCGCGAAAAGCACAGCTAAAGCCTCAAATTTGAATTCTTGAACTGTAAACTCTCTCGTTTCATTTTGAGCGTAGAAAAATGACTGCACTTTTATTAAGCAGCTGCAGATCAGTCATCGCAGTATCGCTCAGGGTACAAAGCAATGCAAATGTTACCATGACAACAACAACAACAGCGTTCGGGTGCCACAGGTATGCCCCCTTTAAATAGATAGGGCTGCATGTGCTTTATATGGAAAGGAATGTAAAAACCGCCAGGGCCTGAACCAACTGTCACAACGAATCGCATTCAAACATGTTTTCTATCTTCCCCATGGTCTCCAGTGAAAACAGCACACTACAGCTGCTAATGAGGAAGAGGAGGGAGCCACGAGGAAGCACTTGTGTTTCACGGGACAGTGCTCAGAATAGACCCTCTGCTGCTTCAGGACCCCCCCCTTCAAAGAGCCAGGGCCCAGCGGAGTCCAGTCCAAAGCCTGTCATGGGATCCTAATGGTCAGATAGGTCTTTGTGGTGTATAAGGAAGTACAAAAGGGCTTAAGAGTGACTGACCACTGCTGCTTTGCATGTTTGTCGCTATATTAACTCATTTGATTTGGTTTGTAGAAAGCTTGATGAGATGATGAGAGTAATAAAACTACTGAATATAGGTTGGAACAAAATCATCTTACTCAGGTGCAAGTAAAATGTAGAATTTCAAAAGCGATTTCCAAATAATAAAAATATAAAAGCACAAAAAAATGTAAATTATATGGTAACCTACAACCTTAACAAGAGGTAGAAAAAAATGATTAAACTCTACCATTTCTACTCCAAGTTTACTTTGAAGTTTTTAATTTAATAATTTTGAGTGCCTCTTCCAAATCCAAATTTAAAAACAAAAAAGTTGAAGACAGTTTGACGTTAAAATAAATTACCCTATTTCCAAATATTAGGACGTCTTCAGTTCATGACAGAGTAGTAAAATTTCAGTGTGAGTTATAAGGATTTTTTTGCAAATTATACACATTTTTCTAATTAAAATGATTTTGAAATTTGACACTGCGTCATAAGTGGGCAGTCACCTTTACGCACCTTCCGCGTATGTAGGCTATGAAGTAAGAAAAACAAACTTGTTTTTTTTTTTAAGTATTTTTTTAAACTTTAAATACAAATATATACTTACAAAAATCTCACAAATGCATATGTACAATAAAAATGTGTCCTTTAAAAGTTCATAAAAAAATTGTAATAAAAATCATTCAGTTTGTCATAAAAAGTAGTCCAATGTCCTACACGAGGCTACACAGTGGTCTCTCCTTGTTTACTACTGGCCAGTTTTGTGTAAAACCTCCTCCATGAATTAAGCGTTTTTCCGGACCAGATCCAGAATCCGGACGTGATTCCAACGATCAGAGTCATGAGGTACTTTATCATGAAAACGGTAAAGTCCGGGCTCATGTTGGGATTACTGTGGGCGGGACACGGCACTGCGTACGTCTTGCATGTTTGACTAATCCACGTTTTCTCCCATTGGTCCCTGAAGGCCTGCTCGTAGAAGTAACACGCGATGACGATAGTAGCAGGGACTGTGTACAAGACGCTGAAAATCCCTATCCGTACCATCAGCTTTTCCAGTTTCTCCGTCTTGGTGCCATCGTGCTTCATTATGGTACGAATCCGGAAAAGTGACACAAACCCGGCGAGCAAGAAGGAGGTGCCAATGAAGAGATACACAAACAAGGGCGCAAGGACGAACCCTCTTAAGGCGTCTACGCTGTTGATGCCAACAAAGCAAACACCACTAAGCACATCTCCATCCACCTGTCCAACTGCCAAAATGGTGATGGTTTTGATCGCAGGCACGGCCCAGGCAGCTAAGTGGAAATATTGAGAGTTGGCCTCGATAGCCTCATGCCCCCACTTCATGCCAGCTGCCAGGAACCAGGTGAGCGCCAGGATGACCCACCAAATGGAGCTGGCCATGCTGAAAAAGTACAGCATCATGAACAAAATGGTACAGCCCTCCTTCTTGGTCCCTTGCACAACTGTCCTCATGTCATTCTCAAAACGGTCGTTGCACACCACCTTGTCTTCCAGCAGAAATCCAGCGATATAGGCGATAGAGACCATGGTGTAGCACCCGGATAGGAAAACAATGGGGCGTTCGGGGTAGCTAAAACGCTTCATGTCCACTAAATAAGTCAGAACTGTGAACAGTGTGGACGCGCAGCACAAAACGGACCAGATACCAATCCAAATGCGCGCGAATTTGAGCTCCTCTTCTGAAAAGTACATCATCCCGTGGGAGCCTTTTGGTTCACAAGGCGCTGCGCAGTTCTCCTGACCCAAGAAGCGGTAGTTCAAATAGGGTGGCACTTTGAGAGAGGTCGGGCATCTGAACTGACCCGTGGGGAGCTCCGGGATCGCGCGCTCCGTGGGGTAGTGCGGGGGATCGTCCGTGCGGTCCGACATGTTCTGCCCCACGCACAGCTCCCCGGCGCCGTGCACGGGGAAACTCTCGCAGGCCAGGCTGTCCGGCCACTGGAAACCGAACTTATTCATGAGCGCCTCGCAGCCCTGGCGTGCGCGCTCACACAAGGAGCGACACGGGGGGAGAGCCTGCTCCAGAACGGTGCACACGGGCGCGTACATGGAACACAAGAAGAACTTTAAATCCGGGGAGCACTGCACTTTGACCAAAGGGTAGAACTGGTGCACCTCTAGCCCCGCGTCCTCCTGGTTGGTGTGCCCTAGCAGGTTTGGCATGATCGTCTCGTTGTACGCGATGTCAGTGCACAGTGGAATGGAAATTGGCTGACAGAAGCCGTGATCCGGTATAGACATTCCCCTGTCACCGCCGTACTGCCCGTTCACTCGGAATATCCCCGCGTTCAGGAGCACGGACAGAAATAACAAAGTCAAAGCGGTGTGGAAGAGCCTGTAGTGCGCCATTGTGCGTAAACCAGCCGCGCTTGTAATGTCCTTGTGTCGCTCAACAAACTTACACTCGGCACTTCCCAGTCGCTTCTTGTTGCTGCCTTCTCTGCGTAATTCCAGGCTCACATTAAAAGTCTCTGCGATCAATCTCCCGCGACATTGAGGCGGTACGTGACAGGAGAGCTGAGAATATCCACCAGTCCATTCACAGGGTCATGTTAGAAGAGTAAAATCCACAGAAAAGTACGTATCCTCCAGCAGAGAGCCGCTCAGATCCTGTCTGCAGCCCGACACAGCGTCAGTCTGGCTTTCAAACCTGTTCTGTTCCGTCTCATTCACTGCCTGCGTCAAGTGCGTTCCCACCAACCGCAGTCAACATCCGGCTCTGGACTACAAAATAAAAGCAACAACCCAACTAAATCTATACCATTTAATAGTCAGGATACTTATGTTTTTACCTTAATACCTTAATATACTCTGAATAAGTTACTATTTGACATTTCTGGGTGTGAGCGGCGTGTTACGTTGTGTTGTTGCGTAAAGTTTGCGCTTGGCTGTTCATTGTGCTCTGATCGATATTGTTCAGCCAATAGTAACCAAAATGTCTGTTAGACCTGGTTTAGTTCTGTTTGAGACCTGGTTTAGTTCTGGTTTAGACCTGGTTTAGTTCTGGTTTAGATCTGGCTGCCTTGCAAAAAATGTAATAAAAAAAAAAAAAATAATAATAAAAGCAATGCAGCTTTAGTCCGCATGAGGTAAAATGATAAAATATGTTTATTTTGTAATTCCAAATGATCTTAAAGCCTGGGAGCTGTATAAAGCCCTGGTCTGGTCTGTGTGTGTGTGTGTATATATATATATGCATATATATATGTGCCAAAATGCTTAACTCAATTCTGCATAATATGAATTGTATTTCTTTATAAAAAGCAGTAAACCACTAAACCCGTTTACAACTACATGAAGAAATAACAGTTCTAAGCACTTTTAAGTCTTAGTTCTTTGGATTAAATCTTGTCAAGGCATTTTAAGAGGAAAAAGGAGCATATTCACAATTTGTTAGCCTCCACAAAATATCACAATAAATATTGTACCGTCAGATGTATATCGTGAAAATATCGTACCCTGAGATTTGGATATTGTTTCATCCCTATAGCTCAGATCTATAGGCTATGCAGTGGTGGAAAAGGGTTTTTTAAAATTTCAGTCTTGTTACCTAAGTTAAAGTACAGATACCAGAGTGAAAAAACTCAAGTAAAAGTAAAAGTATCACATTAAAAATCTACTCAAGTAAAAATTTTAAGATACCTTTTTAAGAATAAGAATTACAAAGTAAAAGTGTTTCACACAGATTTTGAGATCCAATTTAATCATTTGTTTTATTTTATTTCATTTTATTTTAGCTTCAGCTGTTTTTCTTTGTATATGTTTGTTTGCTTCTGTAAACCTAACATGGTTCGCACTTCAAAATACAGGCCTAATAAATGTGGGCGATATACTGGTAGCCTTTGTAATACACAGAATTATTATTGTCTCGGACCATCTACCCAAAGTGTTTCTGTAGAACAAAAAATAAACAACCAAAAATGTTAAATGTATATTTTTCCAACTATTAGGCTACTGCAGGTTTTACTTTCTTTCTTACGTCAGAATTAATAGTGGCACATAGAAATACAATGCAGTTTTATGGGTTTACATAAAAGAATTCAAATACTAAACAAAAAGCACCACTTTCTTTTTAAAGTCCAGCACATCCTCATTTATAAACGTTGGGTGTTTTATTTTGACATTTTTCCTGTTTGCACTAGTTACACTTCACTCCATTGCTCTTCGTCTCTCCTCCCTCTCTCCCCTCCCTCCTCCAGCTCTGTCTCCCTCCTCCTTCTCTCTCTCTCTGGTTATGTGAGGAGTGTGTTGTGAGTTTAGGACCAGCAGCTGTAGAGGAGGAGGAGGTGGAGGGGAGGGGGGCTTGTTAAGAAGGATTTACACTTTTACTTATTCTCTCGTGACTGAAGAAGTTCACTCTAGTTCAACAAGGACGCTGTTTATGATGCTATACGTGTTCACTACCTGGAACACACTGTTTTAAGGAGTTACAATCTTGTATTGTGGTTTGTGAATTTCATTTGTTTACAATTAAAGGCTGCACATATACACCTGTATAGTCTTGTTCAAATGCCACAAACTTTATTTAAAGGTGCACTACACAGCTTTTCTAATGGAGGGTCCGCCACCTGTTTGTCACTGTAATGATGTTACTGTTTTGCCCAGAATGTTCCAAAGTATGGCATTTGAATGTATCTATCAAGCAATTATTTAATCACTGATGTTTATATTGCACAAAATACCATGAATGATATGCACTCTTACTGTGAGTGTGCTTGCCCCTCTGTAGATCTGACCTGTAACATGATCTGTGATGCCACCTGCTTGTCTCTGTCAAAGGTGGAACCAAGTCTTTGTTTTGCAAGTCTCAAGTAAGTCCAAGTCAAGTCTCGAGTCACTGGCCCATAAGTCCAAGTCAAGTTGAAGTTGTCTGCTTTGAGCTTCAAGTCATTTCAAGTCTTTAAACCAAAGTACTCAGATTTTTTGCAATTTATATGACTTTTAAGATAAATTGTACTTAAAAAATCATAGTATATTTATATGAGTATAGATTATGTAAGTTGTAGGCTGTTGTAGACAAAATCTTAGTGTGAATCATTATGGTCAGAATAGAAAGAATTCAGATTTAAAAGTATTTCTCAAGTCTTCTCAAGTCACAGGCCTCAAGTCTGAATCAAGTCCCAAGTCACTGACCTTCAAGTCAAGTCTCAAGTCCAAAAAATAGTGACTGAAGTCCCTACCTCTGGTTTCTATGTACATATAACTTTAACAGGGTGTTTTAGAACATTTTAGATAAAGCATTAAAAACAACATCATCATACTCTCCAGAAAGTGAGTAAAAGTGAAAGTGTACCTTTAAAATGAGTGGAAATTTATCTTAACTGTGAAAACAATATTTCTGATGTCAATAATAGAACTACACTATCGCTAAAGTAAAAAAAATATGTAAAAATCTATACTTAGTAGTAAGACTTCGAGTCAATTCAGCAACATCTAACGTGGCAAGTTTAAATTCTGACCCCAAATTTGACTTTGGTCGGGTTTGTCATGAATCCAAATGTCAACATGAAAAATCTTCCTCACATGAATTCAATCCCCCCTCTCCACAGAGCGCTGCTTTGTCCAGACTTACTGTAGACAGTCAGTGGACCATTTCGAAATACCTTCCTTTAATCAGCCACAGCAGCTAAGTTCAAACAAATATGGAAAGGCCGTATAGGAACTCAACATGTAGAGAAGGAGAGAGAGGAGCTTTTTCCAATTGGCACCACTCACAGTCAGTCACAGCGACAGTGTTAAATGTAGTTTGACATAGGAATGCTAAGGTTTTTCTTCTCAGGGCACTAGGTACAGAGGAGCAAACAAACCAGCATTACCACAACAGGAGGAGCCGTTTGAATTTGGGGGTTTTGCTTGTCAGCGAAAAGCAAAGCAAGAAAAGAAATCTTGTTAGAAATGTTGTGTTGATAGAATCTGACAGTTTAGTTCACTTAAGGAGAGACTAGAAATTAAAATGTCAAATTAATGATTTCATCGCCGTGTCTAGTCTTATTATTAGTTTGGGAAGAGCTTTGACAGGGACAGTACTGTTTGTAGACTTCTCCCATTAAACTGGTCTAAACTTCTTTGGGGGATTTGAAGAAATTTCATATGTGTAGATTAAATTATTCATCGATTCCCTTAATATTCCGGTTGTGGTTTGATATTTCTTAGACAGTGATATTGGAATAATAGTAGTTAATTAGAATATCTATAAATATACAGTATACATTTTTTTGTACCAAATATTTTACTTAAAACATTGCTGTTTGATCATTGACTCTTCCGTGCTTCTGGATCCATCAACTCTGGCTCCATTTGACTTTACATTGAAAAACTGTCGGCCTTCTCTCTGTAATTCTTGCAGACAGCTTCATTATTTTGGTCTTAAAATGTTCATATTAAATCCATTCTACATGATCCTGCAGATCCATTTGGCTGGAGCTGAACTCTATAGGTGATGTCACGCTCCCTTAGTCCACTTCTTTATACAAAATCTATGTTTCGGACATGATCCTGTTCATATTTTATAATCCAGTTTTTGTTTTAAGTTAGAGAAAAAGTAGAGTTGAAGTACAGTCTTGTCTTGACCTTTCTCACATGAGAGGTTACACAGCAGACATCTTCACATTAATTTTGATTTTATGTTACAGACAATTATAACATCCTCAAAATTAAAATTAAATGAAATGTATATTTGAAATTTCTCTTGACACCAAAGTTATTGCAATTCTGTATTCAAATGTGATGGTTCAGATGCTGTGGTGACGACGCTAATAGTTCTGTGGAGATTGGATTTTTCAAAGAGATCAATCCACTCAGTCTTCATCATGACTCTGTTTGATGATCTGAATGCTCCATACCCCAATCTCATCTGGTTTGAAAGATTAAAACATCAATGAAATCAAATGTTTTGCTTGTAGTGTAAGGTAAACAGTAGAACATTCATGTGGCTATGCAAAAGTTTAAAATCAACTGGAAATGAAAATGGAAATAGTAAAAGTAAAAGGTCCTATGTTGCGCAGAATGGATTCTTGTGAGCTTTTCACCATGTTAGAATGTTGTTGAGTTGTGTTTTGTTTTATTCACACATGTTAAAGTAATCCTGCATTATTAGTCTACATCACCAAAGCTCAAAATATTCTGTTCTATCCTGTGATGTAACATGGTTGTAGTTTTCAAGTTAACAGCTATATTTTAGCTTTAAATCAGTAGAGAGTGAGAATTCCTGGGCTAAAATTGTCCAAATTATTATAATATAAAATGTATAGAGTTTAAAAACATGGTGGAGCACTTTCCCGTATCACCACGACATCACAAGGTGGAGTGTTTTCAGTTTGAGAGAAGAACTCAACCCAGAGGCGGTGCTACCATTAGGCAAAAGTAGGCCGCTGCCTTGGGCCCCCAAACCTGGAGGGGCCCCCAACCAAATGACGAGGCCACAGAGCAATTTGATTTTCTCTTAAAATGACATTAAATGAGAGTAATTTATTTTTAAACAATAATCATAAGAAAAATAATAATTATCATATGTAATGGATGTAAACAAAAATGTAATTGTACTAGCAAAAAATAAAACTACTTTCAGTTCTGGTTCTCTAGTAGGTGACCTAACTAATAAAACAAGTTTCCAATCCACCATAATTCAAACAGAGATGTGCGTGTCTCAAGAAAAATTGGGAAAAACAGACAATAAATATATTAAACAAAACAAAACAGAAAAACAGTTAGGGCCCCAAACTCAAGTTCACCTAGGGTCCCCAAACTGCTAACTCCGCTACTGACTCATCCTAAATATACACGCTTAAAACATGTGTGAATGAAAGAAAACACAACTCCGAGTGTGTTTGTGATGAAGAAACAACATTGTAACAGAGATCAGAAAACTGTAATATAGAAACATACATTATGAAAAGTTGACAAGAAAGAAACATCGCATTTATTCCTGTAAAATCAGTGTGTTCCACTCATATTTGAAGCATTAATAAATTTTATTTCAGGTAAAACAACAATAAACAACATTTACAGAAGGACATTACATCTTCCATAATAACATTACATACAGGTTGTAACAAATAATGCAACTGCTAATCTACTGTATATTATATTGTGTTTCACGTGAAGTGTCTGACGGCACTTCTGTATTTTTTTTTCCAAACAACATGTGAAATTGTGTTTTATTTTTTCAGTGCAGCATACAAAATGAAAATAATATGTGGAGAAGTTAGGAAAAAGCTGCTAAAATGGATTAACCTATTTCAGTAAGTCAACCATTCGTTTCCATGACACCACCAAAAATAGTTCATAGCCTATATTCATAAACGATTTCTCTTTGCTAGCATTAAGGGGCTTTCCGTATAACCCTGTATACAAACACTGGCAGCATCGCCGTTTCGCATTTCACCAACTTCATATTTTTCTGGTTAAAATATTATTCCATTTTCCCATCACAGTGCTATTTTGTTTCATGTGCAATTTTCTCCAAAACCATTTCCTTCATGGGGTCCCAAATCTACAGTATGAAGCGCATTCAAGTTTGAGCAGTGTCTTTAGCAACTGCCCACACAAAAATATAAGTATCTGTACAAGACTGCAGGCTAGAGTATCGTAGCTCTGCAAATGAGAAAAAAAAAAACATGTGCCAAAGATATGCACAAAGAAAATGAACCTGCAAAAAACTGCAATCCCCTAAAGCCACACTGGGTAACCTGCACATAACAAGATACTGTATATACTAACCCTTTCCCATCTGTTCTTATCTCTTTTTACTGTTGCACGCTGGCCAAAACACACTCGTTTCATAGCAGTTTATATTTTACATCTATCCAAAATTAGTATTTAAAATCAGGGACATAGCATCATTATAAGTAGAGTATCAGATAGTTATAGTATGATAGTTAATAGTTATAATATTTTATAAGTGACCAGACAAAACTGGAATGTACGCAATTTCTTTAAAGTGCTTTGAAATCAATTGGGGAGCGTTTAAACAGAATTGTATTATTATTTTCTTTCTTTCTTTTTTTTTTTTTCCATTGGTCAAAGACGTTTTATTTCTACTGATCAGAAATTGTGTAGATTTTTTTTTTTAAATATATTGATTCACGCAAACGTTTAGAATCTGTTCGCAATAGTTAAAGCACATGGGTTTTGGTTGATATTTTTGTCTATGTGATAACAAAAATGGAAATAAGTAATATAGCATAAGCAAAAGGGGCAAAGAATGACAAAAAGGGTCATAAGAAAAAAAAAATTAAATTATATTATCAACCCTATTTTCATTGAAAGTATTATTTATGTAGTTGTTGGTAAATAAGCACCATGTTTGTATTTCCCTGTGGTAGAGATAGCATGCAACAACAAACTACTTAGTAAGCAGGCGTGTGGCGTGATTGTTAGCTTGGGCGTGTAGCTACAGTAAACAGCGTACGTTACTTTGGGATTCTTTAGCTCGCCGTACCTTGGTCCACTATTGCTATGAAAACCTCCCGCACTCCAAATAATCCATCTATTTAAATGCCATAAAGGTAGTCAGAGTCTTTTTTTTTCCATTCGCCGAACCGACTCCAGTTCTGTGGGGTACAAAAGGGCTGCAGGATTTAACTGTATAGCAAAAGGTCCTTATTGAAACAGGCAAGATATCTATTAATGCGTATGGAAATGTGTTAGCGAAGGTTATGAGATTAGCAGCCTCGTGTCTTCGTAACAGCCCAGGGCCAGCGGTTATTGGTTCAGTCAATTCACAACTGATAAAAACAGGAAGTCTTTTGTGTCGATAGTACTTCACAATGATCACCAACACAATTAAAACATTAAAGCAACAGTTCAAAAATACATTAAACCACTGTGTTTTAAAATCATTGTAGAAATTCAAGAGGATGTTGAGGGGCACACATATGAGAAAGCATGAGAGCCAGGTAAGTATTTCCCACCTATACTACACATACTACACACTGCAGGCAGTAGAAAGAGTGGAGTTTCAAGTTGGGATGGAAGCTCTAGTGGAGAAATTATTGGATGTTGGACTACATTGTTATTATTTTTTATTTATTTGAGCCATTTACTGCTTTTAAAATGTATCAGATGGGGCACAAGCTAACTGGCAGACATAGGGTGATCAGATGTTCCTGTTTATCCTGGACAGTCCCAGTTCTGAGCCCTGTGTTCCCAGTCCCAGCATTTATCCAAAACCATTGATTTGTCCCACATTTATACAAGAAATGTCCAAGGTGTCCGTATTTTTGTCCAATTTGATACTTGTCAACAACAGCAAAGGGAATATATTGCCATTTGTTCAAAACTGTATTCAGTACTTGTACTGATTTAAGTCTTTCCATTTATACAGACTCACAAGTCAAGTTATGCATAAATCATGAATGGGCATAGCAAGTTTCCTTAATTATGCACTCATTTCACAATTTTATTATTAACCACCTCAAATCAGGGTTGTCCCAGGTTTTTATTTTGAAAATCTGGTCACCCTAGGCAGAAATCAAGTTGTAAGCTTACTATAGTTATACCTAAGCCTTTCTTATGCTAAAATGGCTTAATAATAGTAGCTATAAAATACCTAAACACATTTATTTCACGTCATCTCTATACATGAATCACTCTAGCATTTTAAAATCCTGCTTTTGTGATTTCAACATCTCCACTGTTTCTACTGTCGATACAGTATAGTGCGACGACGTTTCAAATAAAGCTGTCTTTTAATAATATCTAATAAACAAAACTGAACTTTTAGCAGTAGTAATATTGCAGATGTTTCTATGGCGATAAGATTGTCCTGGGCCTAGCGGGACAACAGCTAGCATAGCCTATTGCCTTGTGTTGTGACAGTTAGCTCCTTAGCTCATGTACATATTGTGGATGGAAGCACTGACGCTAAGCTATTGTCCCTTTAAGTTTGCACATTCACTCAACATATATGTCTACAGCTGCTGTCTGTATTGCATCTGATTGGCTAGACTATGTGTGCACCATCAACATCTCCATAAGACTGGCTTTTCAGGTGAAACAACAGGTGTCTGGGTTCGTCTTTGAGGTCCACTTCAATTACTAAAGTGTTCAAATCGTTTTCGAGTATGAATCAGGAGAGAAAATGGGAATCCAAGATGGCCAACAATAGTGATTTTGCCTCCATGTTGTGAAGCAAATCGCCCCATTACAGAATCAGACATGATAATCTAGTATTGTTAAAGCCCGTCTGATCACTCACCCATTTGAAACACTACACATGGAGATAATGCTCAATGTTATAGGTCGTATATTACACAAAATGGACTCTTGTGAGCGTTAAGCCACGTTATAATGATGTTACCTCCTAAAAAACATCTGGAATTGTGTTTTGTTTCATTCACACATGTTTGAGTAGCGTTTTATTGTTATTCTTGTCTGCTCAAAATGCTCTGATCCACCTTATGATGTCATGAACCAGTAGTTTTCATTTATAAGTTATTTCATTTCATTTCATTAGGACTGAAATTATCCAAATGATTCCAGTGAAGGGGTATGGAGTTTAAAAATACAGTGGAGTACTTTCTGTATTACCACACATCACAAGGCTGAGTGTTTTCGGTTTGAGAAAAACAATTCAGCCTAAATATGTGTTTTGTGTGTGTGTGTGTGTGTTAAATGTGTTTGAATGAAACAAAACACCAGGTTTGTTTTTGATGAGGAAGCAACATTATAACTTAGATCAGAAAATAGCACAGTATAGTATTAAGTATTAAGTCTAGTAAAATGTCATTTCAAAACCTGATTGCTATGAGAACAGAACTTTTACAGAGATTTAACTAATAAACTAAGTCATTACATTCTAATGATTTGACAGAAAGATATAGCTCATGTATTACATTTATCACAAATCTGGTTGTTTAGTGGTTTGGTTGTATGTATTGACAAGTTCCTAATATATAACATAGCTAGACAAAAGGTTAGCCAACATCTGTATACCAATATGGTCTCACAAATTCATTCACATTTTGGTTGATTGTACATTTGTATTAGCCAAATCCCCTGCTGTATATGTGGATAACGATTGAGAAAATCATGGTATTATAAAGTTAACAAAGAACATCCAGACATATGTTACTCCACCTGATCAAGCCTTACATTGCTATTATTATTATTATTATTATAAACTTTTTTGGATTCAAGTCAAACATATTTTAAAAATATACAAGGAAAACCATCTCTTCTGACTGCATTATGTTTTGTTCATTGTTTCTGCTTGTCCTATTTGCTGCTTATTTGCGTATGTTGGCCAGAGCAGTGTGAGAAGATGCGATATTCAAAATGTCCATTATATAGTATCTAGATGAGTATATCATACAAATATACATTCTTAAATAGGAGGCTAGTTACAAACACAAAACACAATATGTACCAATAGTAAAGTCCTTTTTGTTGTTACCGTGACGATGATATCATAGGAGTTGTTGGAGCTTTATAAAAAGTAAACAAAATTTGCAAATGATAATTCTTAGGTACCATCTGAAAAGCTCACATGCGCCCTTTGCTTGTCCATGCACACACCGCAGTCACTCTCTCACTCACTCACAAACGCACACACACGTCGTGAAAGTAATAAATAAAGAACTCTGGGGCTCTGCCGTTTTGTTTAGATCCTCTATCTTGTTACGCAGGTCTTCATGGTTTTATAACAGCCACCTGAAAGACACAAGAGAGGGAGAGAGAGTTTTAGAGCAATGGAGCAATGTGTAACTTGAACATTACATAACTGCAAGTGTGTATGTATTTTTTAGGTATTTTTAGGTTTGAGAGAGAGAGAGAGAGAGATTGCTGAAATTTTGCTTTTAATTCTGTTAGCCAAGACAATCACCAAAACACATTATTGCAGTGTATTAACTGACCTAGAGGATGCATGTATTGATAGAACAAAAGAGGTCCCAGGATCGACCCCTGAGGAACCCCTTGACAGTGAATGCACCTGCATGCTGCCACGAATATTTGTATTGTATAACATGATGCATTTAATCAAGTTAATCTAGCTATAATCCAACTAACGCAAACTCTGTAAGTGAATTTGATACATGCTGTTGCAGGGAGCTTATTTGGCATGTCAACTCAGCAAAGCAAAGACAAAAAGAGCCAGAACCACAGATATCCTACTAATTTTGACTACTTTAAAAGCAATAGCAAGACAAGAGATAGTCAGACAGCTACTGTGCTATTCAGAAGTATAATCAATTTGGGTAGTGGGATCAAAAAGTCTAAAAACTAAAAGGCAAGACTAACTCATGACCCTACTTAAACAAGTTAGCAAAAACTTCAGTGGATTTTCTGTAACCTTGCATGACTGTTCCAGCCTTGAAGTGAACTTGCTTGAGACTCACTTCTCAGTCTGTTGTGACTATGGGAGTCACAGGGAGGCTAATTCAGCAGGCAAAACTGTGTAACAACTTTTAACTGCATCGGTGTGACTGGCTGCCATATCCAATTGTGTACACTGTATGTGGGGTACTGTACTGCAACAGTCACTTGAATATTTAACCATGAGACAGACAGCAGACAACAGGGAACATTGTATGAAAAGAGGGGAGCAGGGAAAGAGGAGGAGAAGAAAGTTGGACTGATAAATAATGCATGGGCTCTCTAAGGCCCTCTGCCGACTATCCGCTTTCCCAACTCGGATTTTCTCTCCCTCTCTTCTGAGTTCCCACTGGAAGCACACTGTATTCGTCAGGAATCTAAATTTTGGATCAGCTCACAAACTCTGCAGTCGCCTCTGTGCACCATTCAAGATTTCAAAGACTTTAAGCATTTTTAGAAGGATCAGCATGTCATACACACTTTGACTTGTTTCCTGAAATAGCTAAAATTGTACAAAAGATGCACCTGTAAGCAAAGAGCTCAAACAGAGAAGTTCTCTCTGGTTTGCAATTGGAATAAATGTAGTGCCCAGACATGCGTGTGAATATATTTTAGTTTTAGTTCAGGGGTACAAACTTATTCTGGAATGGTTTCAGTGGTTACAGTATATATAGTGCTTTTCCACCTTCAAGGCACTTGAAGCACTTTACATCAAGGAACCACTCACCTATTCACACACACATTCATACACCAGTGTGTGCAGACACTGTGGGCAAGGTGGGTTAAGTGTCTTGTCCAAACACAATGACAGTATTCACCTTTCAATGCTTTTCTAGCCATCAGACTGCACAACTCTCTGGCCTAGCTCAGGAGCACTTTGAACCTGATCAACTGTTTGTTTGTTTTTTGTTTTGTTTTGTTTTTTTTGTTGTTTTTTTTTAAGCTTGAGATTGTATAGGCAGTTTTAACACTGACCAAATGCATGTGTCTATCTAGTTTTCTTGATAATATCAACACAGGAAAACAATATACCCCATCAGGGCAATATTACAGAAACCAAGGCATGTTTCTGTCGACGTGAGCCTCTAAATGGGGCAGATCCGTATAAAATCCATGTCATGTGACTCCAATTTTCCAAACAGGGGGAGTCTGGAGGCAAAGCCGGATTTACCTGCCAGGAGGCCCGCAGCCAGAAGCAGCCTGAGGCCCTGCCCGCTCCTCTGCTCACATCAGTGCACTGAGCAAAAGCAACTCTGTGAGATGCACTGTGTTCCAGTGAGAGGTGTGTACTAGGGAGGAAAGACTGTCTGCATTCATTTGGAAACAAACTCAACTTTCGCTTGATGTTTGGTAGTGGAATTTGCAAAACTGCATCTGCACAACACACAGCCGTTTCAGATGTAAGCATCTGTATATACATTATTAAAACAGTAAGTGTGAAGTTGCTGTTTCAGTAATATAATACTACCATAAATCGTGCACGTTATTTCATATAAGGACAGAGATTGTTTGTCCACAAGTTTATAGATGTCTGATCCTCTTTGGGCACTTTAACCCTTCCCGAATATGAAATAAATAATGCATTAAAGCCAAAAGCAACACTGAGAAGTTATACCCTAAGACTTATGCACAAGTTATTAATGTTTCATCCTTCCTGTACAAGCAAAAAAGGGAAGATTACGTCTTAAACTCAAAATAACTGTTAACTTCAAATTGCTCTATGCTAAGTTGCTCTATCAGGACCAAGTAAAGATGTTTGAGGACTTCTTTATATTTTTATATTTACAACTAGTGTCAAAGCTGGCATTTTATAGACATGTTAAACAGTGTATTATTGTGAAAATAGTAAAAACATATAATATTGTCTGTCAACCTCAAAGTCAAACAGGAAGTGGAAGAAGTGTGGATAAACTAAGTAACAAGTGAAACTTTCAGCGCTCTGTCATTTCCACTCTGCTAACCAACAAGAGAGCGATTGTCTTAATAAGAACACCGTAGTGGGAGCAGATGCAGGCTTCCTCCGTCCCTGGATCAAAGGCAGGGAAGGTGCAGAGAGGGTATCCCAGCCGAGAGGAGGCCTCTGGGGGAGCAGATGGAGCTGGTGGGAGGGTTTTGTGGAGAAGGATTTAACAGGCGTGGCCAGCTGCTAACTGTCCCCCTCCCCCTGAAACAGCACCCTGAACGTGTCATGTGTGGACAATGTGAAGACAAATGGACAAGTGAGAATGAGCTCAGTAACCACGGAGACCAATGGTGGAGCTATTACAAGTGTTTATCGCAACTTTGAAAATCACAGGCTAAATTTCTCTTTAACTATTACTTTTTAAAGCAAGTGTGGATTCAGAAACAGGTGTTCTTAGGATATGCTTTGCTTTTTGTTTTAAAAGCAAAATAGCCTCTATAGTAGACTCCTTTCTTTCTTCAAATGTTTTTTTTTTTTTTTCATTAAAAGGGCCCATATTACTCTATTCTCTAATCTGTTCAAATTGTGAAAATGTTGTTTACCTGGAGTTCAGCTTTGTTTCATTCACACATGTTTAACACAAAACCCTGATTATTTAGGCTGTTCTTCTCTCTAACAAAACACTTTGTTCCACCTTGTGATGTTGTATGGTAATATGGGAAGTGCGCCAGTGTGTTTTTAAACTACATACACCTTCATTAGAATCATTTGGATAATTTCAGCCCTGAAATGTCTACTAATCAAAAGGTAAAAGGTAGCTGTTAACTAACTAAATCTACAGCTTCAAGACATCACAAGGTGAAGCAAAACATTTTGAGCTTTGGAGATGTAGACAGACCAATAATAAAGGATTGCTCAAAGAATGTGTGAATGAAACAAAACACAACTCCAGCTATGTTTTTGAGATCGTAGCATTATACCATAACTTAAAGAGTGAATTTTGCATAGTATAAGGCTTTTAAAGAGAACAACTGCTGAAGGCCACACCCACTGAGCAGAGACATTAGACATGATGTTGGGATAAAATATTACCTGCACTCTCCTCAAACATATGACTTCGCTCCTCTTTGTTTTGGTTAGAGCTGATTTTTCCACACTGCGCTCATGTGCGCTAACGTCTGATCAGAGCCACCACAGACCAGGACTAATACACAACAGATGAGCTGCTATGGTTCTGCTCTGTTTATTACAGTAGCACTTTTACTGATAGGACAGAATACAGGCAGCATTGTTCTAAGGGGAATGTTGTAATGGGAAGGTTTATGAACGGCTAAATTTAAAAGTTGCACAATGGTTAGAAAAAAGTGAAAAGAAACAAGTTAGTAGGTAGGCCTTAGTCACGTATAGTTGCCTATGTCGCATATAGATCGCTTTTCAAATTAAGTTCATCACAGCTTCAGATGCCAAGGGTGTGCACATTGATTGCATGGTGTTTGTTTTAGATGAGATGCCCATCCTCATACAGCTTGCATGCTTTGAAGTATATGAAAACTTTTGGCATTGCAGTTGTATATTGTGTGACCATAACATGGAGATGGAAAGTCATGTCACTGCAATTACTCATTTTCAATACACAGCACAACTTTCACATACAGAGCGATGTAAGCATGAAATCTACTTCCAGATGCATTCACTTTAATAGAGGATAAAAGAAGATTTAAATTATTACTGAAACAATTCTTGGCATCAAATATGTGTTGAACTATCTCTGATGAAGTTATAAATGTACTGGATTTGATAAGGCCTCGGGATATATGTATCAGAAATACTTTATGACTTGAAAGGTATTTATTCATTTTGTACTAATGGACTTTTATATGCTGTCAGCGAAAGTAATGAAAAGTTTTACTGTTTGAAATGTATATTCATCCATTTTGTATGAATGAACCTATATATGGCTGAAATGTAAATATTTTTGTGTAATTATCTTATTCAGACCCCAGGACAAATAGCATCAATCAACAACAAACTTCCTGTCCAATTTTGTTTTTTTTTGTTTTTACTGGCTTGCGCTAAAATGAATAAATATTTAAAGATAAAGCATTGGATGTGATTAACAATATGTTAAAAAGTACATAAATCAATATTTCAGTGGAGAACAAATCTGCTTTTCAAAATGTAGAGGTAAAGCGCATCATATTTTAGCCCTTAATACTATAATAATTGCAGACTCCTTGTATATACATTTGAATTATTATTATTATCAATTTTTTTGGTATATAACTTTACAAAATAATTCAAAATTAGCATTACAACTAAGCCATATGAAGACCAGAATAGATTTTGTGTGCTGAGTTCAACCTGTGTGAATCGGAGTGACAGAGTCGACCCCCAGCGCTTCTGCTCCGTAACCCAAAGATCATGACCTCTGGCC